CCTGAAAATACCGGCAATAAAGGGATAATTCCTCCCAGACCTCCCAAGGTAATTGGGTTTGGAGTAGGATTAGGATTAGGGTTTTCTTCCACAGCCGCAGGTTGGGGAGCATCCTGCATTGTCTCGCCTAATCTGAAATCTACTTCTTACCACTAGTCTAACACTTTTACTCAACCTACCAGTCCCTAACTCGACTAGAATCGACCTTTTAATTCGAATAGAGCCTTTTTCCGCCTTACCGATAGTTCAAGAAAGTTGGACCCCACTCCTGAAAAACCAATTTGTGGGTAACCTGAGGTAGGACGAAGTCATACCTCATTGTGATAGGCAACAGTTTGGTGAGAACTGCCCACTGGTCAGTGGATGGCTTGTTTGTGGTTGTTCTATCCCGAAAAGTTGGGATTCTCTTGTCAGGTCGAGTGGAGGAAATGTGAGGGGTCGTCGGTAAGGTGTCAACAATATTCGAAATTAAATACACTTTTAACAACAAACATTTATTAGACAAAACTAAGATTATGGACTGTTCATGCAGATTTGGAAGGGCCGCACCAAGAGAGAGTTCACAATACTTTTGGCGGTTTCATACCTCTAGTTGATTCAACGTTGGTACGGGATCGACTTGGATCGGATTCGGTACTTCGATCGAGGAGGTCTTCTTAGGAAGGGTCCTTTTCGACGTCTCCACTATTGAATGAAGAAATCGGTTGGTTAGGCTGGTCTGTGGTGATGGACCTGAAAGAGCGGTGAGGACGGACTTGTTTACGGACGGCAAAAGTCCCCCCTCGGTCGTCGTCCCTCTTTTGATATAAAAAAGGGATATCTTCCGGAGATCTTCTATCACGTTATCTCTTTACACCAATCAGATATCTTTGGATAAGATCCTGGTGATTCAGCTTCGGGTTACGGAGGGAAGGAAAGTTACTCCGGGGACGGGAAGAGGAGCATCCGCCTCCAACAGTTTCGAAAGAGGGAAAAATAGAGGGGTTCTTTGTTTAAAATAAATATTTGATTTATTAATTTTGTTGGTTAAAGGTCTCAAATTCTCTTAACTCGATCTGATTTTCACAAATTTAATTCTTGCAAAGTAAGCCATTGTAAAGCATTCTAACTAATACATAGATTTAATGGAGAAGGCAGAGGTTAAAGGGCAAAATTTTTGATATTCCGGATGTGTCGAAGGAACATGTTATGCTTCAGATTATGGTCTCCGTTTATCCTTCAGTCCATCCAGTTTAGAGTGTATATTTTAGTTTAAATACGAATTGTATTGAATGATTTTGAGTTACTATTAAATAAGTTTTAATTGAATTTCTATAAATAAGATGTTTGCAAATAATCCTTATCCTTTGACCGTGATTATAAAATATAATCTAAAGTAATTAATTACGAAAATAAACCAATGAAGAAATACTTAATTCTTTGCATCTGTCGTTTTCGGCACTTCGATTGCTTTCCAATGTGGCAGCAGGATTAAAAGTGGAAAGAGGTGCGTTTCGGATGGTAATTCAAATGAAAAACACAAGCAACGGCAGATTTATACACAAATATGCAAAGTCTTAGTCAGCCAATGTCATCTCCGAAAGTTGGACTAAACGAAACGAAACGAAAATAAAATCTTACAGCTAGCTAAATTCTAATTAAAATCTTACTTGGTGTAATGTCGGCATCCAAAAGCCTTCTTAAAACCATGTCTGGATAGCAAAGAACACTGAAATAAGGCCGAAAACACAGCAGAAACCAGAGCAAAGAGCACAAACGTCCGTTCGGCAAGGGAAAAATGTGCAAAGTGATGCAAAATCGTGTTGCAACAATACGTGTTTCCATAGAAATGGCAATTGTTGCCAGATTAGAAAGCATGTGTAGTGCTGCATCACTATATTTTTTGTTCTCGGTCTTTGTATATGTTCATGCCCTTTGTGTAATATGTTTCGTTATTTCGTGCCTGAAATTGTAATTGTGTAAATGAAATTTTATTAATTTTCCTTTCTGGTTGAACTGCCTTTTGGGTGGCGCGCCTGCCATGTAACGATTGGCTGTATAGTGATCATGTGAAGGGGGTTATGTAGCATGATGGCGGGATGTATAAATTATCCCATGTGCGGAGGAAGCACCTTTTTTCCTAACCAGGACTTGGGTCAGGTATACAGAGGTGTGTTGGAGCGTGGGGTGAAATAGAAAGAAATAGGGACACAACTCGGTTTGGACAAAGGATAGAAAATCGCTCAAGAAGCAATCGAATCACATCGTCGTGAGTTATACATCATGATAATTTATTAATATCATTAGATGGAGTGTTTTGGGTATATACCTGAATAAGACAAATATTATTTGGACATTGAATATTATGTTTTACAGACTCCCTGTTTTTTCTTGGTCGTGACTGCTCTTTCTACGAGATCCCCTTCCACTTTGTCCCTTTCTGCTCTTAGGTCGTCCTCTTTCTTTCTTCTCTTTCATTCCTTTTGATTTTGCTCGGCTTTTTTTCTTCTTTCTCACCTTCGAGCTCTCCTTAGAGGTTTTTACTAATTTTCTTTTAATCTCTTTCAACACAATTCTCCCGCAGTCGTTAATGGCTTCGTTGATAGTTTGATACAAAGATCGACCGATGGGAGTCAGTTTGTTTTCGGTAGGCGTTTCTTTCTTCCGCCCGCTGTTTGGACGATCGTTCTTTTCGTTCATTGTCAAGCAGGAAACTGAATTCGATGTTTCAAACGACATTTAAAGTAAGAATTCTGTTCTACGTCAATTTGAATTTAAATTTGATTTTTGTTTTTCTCTTTGAAACGAAACAGTTTTAATTTCGTTGGCGTTATTTAAAACGTTTGTGGCAGTAATTTAAAAAATATATACTGTAATCTCTTAATTTAATTAAGTAAATTTTATGAATAAGTTTGATGTTTTTGCAATTTGTATATTGAAAGTGTGAAAAACGTCGACGTGGTGTAATATTCTTACTTTTAAATGATAGCAAATGCTTTTGTCCTACGGCCGTTATGTAACATTGTCACGTTTTGTGAACGCTAATTGATTTCAGTTGGTTCGCGAAGTATTATTTTCAAACACAAGAGTTCGGCTTACTTTTAATACTTATCGCATGTATGTATTAATACAGGAAGTCCTCGTTGGTTTATGTCTAATAAGAAGAGACATAATAAAAGACCAGGGGTTAGAAATGAACTTAGTGACAGAAACAATAAAACTCCCCAACGGAAGAGTGGTAAGCTTCCAAGACCATGCCACACTAAAAGGGACAACGAACCAATAAAGAAATCATCGTCAGAGTAGTACGCGGACTACTCTGACGATGAAACCCATCCCTACCAACTATGTGACCAGCCAGATATTCACCAATTATGGAAATTACCTTGCTTACCTCCACAGGTTCAGCCACAACGATACTCCCACCTGCCAGTACGATAGAATTTCTTCATAGGAAAATTCTCACTTAATTTTTGACTGCACTCTGTTCGATCATCAGAGAATACCTTTACTCTAGACGGTACTCCAGGAAGGACACAACTTGCCATGCAACCCTACCATCCTTGTAAGCAACAAAAGGATATTCACTGAACTAATGAACTTTATCAACTCTACCAAAGCCCTCAATTTTCAGAACAACAACATCTAATTGTTTCAGCAGGTACTCTGTCACGCATTATATCTTTCTGTGTACATAAGATTGTAGTGACATGTATTTCTCTATGGAATTGTGCCTGACTTCTGTGTTTATCCATGTGTTCTAGCCATTGTATCAAGCATGCTATGTATGTGTTTGTCCACTATGCCTATATAAATATTTTACTGCTTTTACATTGTAACAAGTTAACATATTGTCGTGCCTTTATATTTGTTAATGTATAAAACCTTTGTTTGTGATGAATCTTGCATTTATATATACTAGGTGTGTTTTTAAAGTAAGTACCATTTTAATATAACACCACTGGAGCGCTGCAGTCGGTGCTTAGCGCATGCACGCTGTGTACCTACATCTGTTGGGAAGCCACAAATGCCATTACGGAGCCACTTGACTGTGTTTACTGTTGTTTGTGTGTTATTGAAATGCTGTTGTTCATTGAGAATCCCGCCGACTGCGAAGTGCATGCCGTTATTCGTTTTCTCAGTGCTAAAGGCTCGAAAGTGGCTGAAATTCATCACCAAATCAGTGAAGTTTATGGTGAAAGCGTTACGAGTGATGGAATGGTACGAAAATGGGTTAGGGCCTTTAGTAATGGCCGCACAAACATTCACGATGAGGTACAAAGTGGGCGACCTTCAGTCATTATCGACAATTTGATTGAAAAAGATTGCATTTGAGATATATGGGCAAATGGAAAAGTGCAAATATCCTGCTGTAAGAAAAGATTGTAGTGTCGGTTTATTAAATGTCACGATTAAATGTTTAGTAGAAATTACCTTGCCATCTCGACAAATGGAGATGCGTCAGACAGCAGTAACTCCTTGATCTGAAAGGCAAGTTTAAATATCTGATTCATCCTCAGACATCAGACATCAGATCGATTTCAGGTATCACACCACGTGAAGAGTTCAAACTTGTGTGTGGTGTAGTTGTTACTTGTATGTCTTTTAGAGAGTTTGTTTTCAAAAGCTTTTATGACTGTTGAGGGGAGGCTGCGTCTACAAGTAGATCTCCTGATCTGAATTTTTAATTTTTTTAAGGTGTCCAATGGTCAATTCAAAAAGTTTCTGAATCAGAAAAGAAAAACATTTAGAAAGAAGTGTTTCTCCCGTAGCATGAATGATGAGGTAATATGGTTGGCTGGAGGAACTGACCACCTTTAATGGCGCAATGCATTGGTATATGCTGTTTGAGATTTTAAAGGATTCATATTCAAAACTAACTATTAAGCTCCTAGTAACCCCACCCACCATGGGGCCCAACTATGGTATGCTGTCACATGGACTATTTCCATAGACCATCACACTAGGGCAGAGGTGGGGAACCTTTTTACCATTAGAGGCCACATTTAAATTAGGCAGCAATAAGACAGGCCGCATAAGCTGATTGACCTAAGAAAGTGACTTTTGTGAAATTATTATAGTTTTTCTATAGATTTAACAATTTATTGCATTATATAGAAAAAATAAAATATAATACTACAAAATTTTAAATATAATATACATATAAAATAATATAAAAATATTATAAAAAAATACAATAAAAAATATTTTTTTATTCACTAAGTTAGTGACTTATTTGGCTTTGTTTTTTGTTTGACAGTAATTGTATATTTGGATCAAGCTTCGTAACACACAGCTTTAATTGATCCTCTAAATGTGCATCTGTAATTTGCGTTCTTAAATTTGTTTTTATTTTTGACATGAGAGAAAATGTTGTCTCGCAACAGTAGGTACTTCCGAAGCAGGAAAGTAAACGGCGAGCATGTTCTCGAAGGCATGGATATTCAACAGCATTTTTCCAGATTTCTATGGGATCCTTTTTAGCGTTAAAAAGGGATTTGATGATACTATCTTCCCCTAAATCAATTAACTCCATTTGTAGTTCTGCAGGAGCCTCGGATATATCTATTAAATGTGGTTCAAATGCCAGTTTCATAGCAGGAGTGTGCTCGTCAAAATCAGAAAATCTATTAGTATACTCTTCTATTAAACAATCCAAGACACCTACATATTCATCGAATATTTTATTTTCACAGTTCTGCTCATTTAACATTTTAGCTAGCTCCGGGAAGTGTTGTGCAGATATTTCCGATCGACAAAGCAATGTTTTGAAAAATGATAATTTTTTTCTAAACGCTTGGATCTTTTGCCACATTTCATAAATATACCTCGTTTCACCTTGCAGGCAAATATTTAAATTGTTTTGTTTTGTCATCATATCAGACAAAAATGCAAGGTTTCTGAGAAATACTTCATCTGATAGATCACATTGTTTTCCTTGTTCTTGATAAAAGTTTAAAATTTGTCGTCGTAAAGACAAAACTTTTATCAAAACCTGACCTGTTGATAGCCAGCGAACCTTGCAGTAGTATGGTAGGTCAACACTATACGTTTCCTCATCTAAAGAGAGCATCTGCCGAAATTCACGATGACGCATTGCATTTACGCGAATATAGTTGACAATGGCAATGGTTCTATCCAGAGTGTCTTGCAAAATGGTAGATTTTGCGCAAAGATTTTGCTGATGCAAAATGCAGTGAAATGATATCAATTTTTTCAAGTTTAAGTTTTCCTTTTTTAACAAAGCAACGAATCCTTCTTTTTTGCCTCTCATGGAAGGTGCGCCATCGGTGCAGACACTGACTAAATTACTGACATTCAATTGTAATTTATTACATACTTCTTTGAAGTTTTCGAAAATATCGGCTCCTCGAGTTCTTCCAGTTAGTGTACCCAACGCAAGTAGTTCTTCGTAACATTGAAAATCTTTAGTTATAGCACGAATAAAATATAAAACTTGTGCCGAATCTGTTTTATCAGTGCTTTCATCTAAAGCAATTGAAAAATAAACATCTTCATTTTGTATAATTGTATGAAGTTGCTCTGTTACATTTTGCGCTAATTCGTGCTGTCGATCTGTTACAGTTCTTCTTGAAAGAGGTAATTGTTTGTATTTGTCGACATTTCTTGGATCTAACATACTCACTGCTTCAACAATACATTCTTTAATTATTTCAATGTCACTAAATGGTTTGCCCCTTTTTCCAAGTATATGTGCTATTTTATACGTAACAGCAACTGCAGCGGAATTTTGATTTACAAAGGCACTAAAAGATGCCTGCTGATGATGCTTCTCATTTTTCAACTTTTGAAGTGCAGCTTTTCGTGATTCACCTTCTAAAGCGAAATATTTATGTTCTTTATGAGTCAAATAGTGTTTATTTGCATTCGCTTTTTTTAAAGTATTTAAAACTGTATTGCACAACAAACACATCATTTTATCTTTCTCAGCAGTAAAGAAAAAATCTAACTCCCATTCTACATTAAATGTTCTGTTTTCATCACCTAATTTTCTTCTCTTACTATTTGACATGATGGATAAAAAAACGAATATCAAATAATATCTTTAACAAAGTGTATACTTTCTAGAAATACAATAAAACCGTGTAACTGTTATAAGCACTCACTGTTAACTACAGTTTGCTGAAGATCGCAACAGGGAAGCGTTGAGAGATGCGAGTCAGAGAAGCCAAAGCAAGGTGTGACACTCAAATGGGAGATCTGAAACCGAGTTTTGTTTACTTCTTAGACAAGATAGTTGGCGCTGCTAGCGCTTTTTAAACAGTTTTTTAAAAAATTGACATTTTTTAAAAAACTGTTTAAAAAATTAACATTGAGTGTCCAAGTCTGAAACGGATGGTCTGTGGGCCAGAGCCTCGCTCATGCGTGTTAGAGTCCGTTTCAGACTAGTATTCTGACGTCATGTTACAATATGACTGTCTTTGGCGGGATTTATCGCACAACTGTCATGGCGTTGATGTACAATAGTTGTTTGAAACGAACTCTACCATTTTTGTACTAGGTGGCAAAGGGCCACACAAGAACCTCGCGGAGGCCGCAGGTTCCCCACCTAGGCACTAGGATTTCCCAGGAGCTATACTTTCATAATGCAGTCAAGAAGAGCACATCTTGTCCGACGTGTTCGCATCGATCAGTTGACTCCAGGCCAAGGTCAAAAATGACTCGATTGATTCAAATGGAGTCTGATTTGAGCCTTACGTTTATCTGAAGCAGGGTTCAAAGCAGTGTGTTGGGGACGTTATGTTGCCCCTCAACTACCAGGATCCCCCTTTCCGGCATATGGGACACATGCACAGCAAACACGTGGGTGGGCAAGATCCCAGGGATGGTAAAGAAGAATTACTAAACCACCTCTGGGAGGTTCCCTCACCACGGTCAGAATGGAGCAAGTTTGATTGTTTAATAAGTCATTTAAATTCATATAACACAGATATAAGTGATAAATTGAAATATGCATCTAGTTTGATTACTGAATGTCTAGAACAGGGGTGGCCAACCTGCGGCTCTTTGAAGGATTGTTTGTGGCTCTTGATAAATGTACCCGAGTTCCCTTTTCATTTTTGTGTTATTATATTTTAACAAATTATTATCGTTCCATATGTGTTTCAAAATGTCTTTTAAATTACTAACAACAAATATGAAAAACTAAGTGCAACGTTGTAACAAATTTCATTTTTGTCCAAGTTAAGAATGATATGACTCATCAAAAACTGCGCGAACGAACATAAACAGTGGCGTAATCGTCTGTTATCGACCGACTCCAGACCGATTTTGAATTTGTAAACTGTCGTCGCAACGGACAGTTGACATTGTGCTCTGGAGGAACAATTTGTATCACTCTTGCTACGGATATAATTCATAATCTGGAATTTTTTGCATACCTTCTTAATATGTATTTAATTGCGGCTTGCGAAAAAATTTCAAATTTTGAAAAATGGCTCAGATTATCAAGGAGCTTGGCCACTTTGGTTATATACTATCAGTGGGATTCAGTGAAGAAGAAAGAAGCCATAAAGTCTACTGCAAAATATGCAGTCAAAGTTCTTACTGAACAGCTGACAATGATGAGGCATCACTGCTTTATTGCAAAGACTCAGCTAAGAGCAATGAAGTTCCTAAAAAATAATCTGAGCACAGAAGAAGCAGTGATGCAGGTAGACTATTCGGAGAACTTTGCAATTCAACAGCAGAATGAAATAATGGCTGCTCACTGAGTATCTGAAGGGATTACACTATATACTTGTGTTATAATGCAGAATGGTTCTTGCACAAATGACATTGTAGTGAGTGATGACTTGCAACATGACAAGTTTTCAGTGTTTTGTTGTTATTTTAGATAAACATTTGAAGAATACACATATTTCCACCCTCCAGATATGCTCAGATGGAGCTCCCAGCCAGTTTAAGAACCGGTATATTGTTTTTCTTGTCTGTTCAAAATGGAATGCATTGGTAGAATCACTATATTAAAATTCGCTTGCTAGAATTTAAATTAAAGTTTTTACTACAGTTTACTGAAAGTGTTTTCTCAGTGGGGGGTGAACTTTAGAATTAAAGTTCAGCCAGAAGTTCGTAATTGAAATTCAATTTCCGACCGGAAGTTGATTGAAAATTACAGTTTTTAGGCCAGAAAATGACTCCAAAACCTCAAAAGTTTTTCAATTTTCCCTTCGATATACTGGCAGATATATCACTGTAATGAAGCCTGATTTATCATTTACTTTTGTTTCGGTGGATCGGTCGGGGCCATTTTTACGCTATTATTTGAAATTTTCAAAAAAATATATTAGGCCTACTTGATTGTTTTCTTATCCCATAGTCTTCCAATAACTAATGACACACAAGATATCACTATTTATAATACATATCTACAAAAGAACACAAAAATCTCAGGAGCTCGAATTGCAACATCCTTCCACATTCGGAGAAATTACACAACCTCATACAAGACCTATATACAAGTAAATGTGAACCTGATCTGTTAAGCATTTCCAGGATATTACCTCAGACCGTCAGATTCCACTATTATACAGATTTGAATGGGGTTCTTTTTCTAATAGAGTTTTGAATTTGTAGATTCGAAACGTTTTGAACAATTTAAAATTTAAAGTAAAATTGAATGTACGACATATAATAAAGCATTAATTTCTGTTTATTAAAATGGATTTGGCTACTATTTACCATTAAAAAAGTGGCTCTGAAAAGAGCTGTTTGATCACTGGATTACGGTAATCTAGCAATTCCGTTTTTGATTGTCAGGGACTTGACGCCTCACAGACGAGCTGTGTATGACACTGTTGAGTCTGTTGATTACCTTGTCAAGCGCCGCTGTCTCACTGATGTTAATAATATCACCAGGATTCCAGTTCATCTGAATTAAGTGGTGATACAGTTCCCAGTTATTGTGTCGAGAGATTCCAAACTTCGGTAACAGTGTGGTTTCGTCGATCACGATCTCGATATAGTTGTGATCGCTGGCCGAGTGCAGATCAACAGTGTAGCACCGGATTTTGTTGGTGTTTAGTTTTTTTGATCCGAGGCAGATGTCAATCCAACTGTCCCCGTTAGTAGATGAGAAGGTAGGAAGCGTGCTAGAGTTGAGAGACGTCAGCTGTAATTGAATCATTAACTCCTCCACCAAGTATCCCCTGGGGTCCTCTATCGGACTGTGCCAGGAGTGGGCCTTGGCATTGAAGTCCCCTGAAATGATGATCTGGTACTCTTGGAGCTGCTGGACAGTGGCGGCGAGTAGCTCAAGCGAATCGTTGACGTCCTAGGAGGGGGGACAATAAAACGAGATGAAGATGTAGTAGGAGGTGATAAGGTTAACACTGACAGTAGTAAAACTATTGCTGCAGTGTTGAGGCAGCAACTGTACATCTATGTTGTCATTAATAACCACGAATCCCATCTTGGGGGTCCATAGGATCATGATGCTGGATAGTAAGACAATTCCCGAACATGGCGATCTTATTTTGGTAGGTGTACGGCTCTTGAATAAATATTTTATCTGTATTTCTATTGGTGGCCTGTTGAATGGCGTCAGAGGCTGCAGCTTTGCACCTTTGGAGATTTATTTGTAGTAACTTCAGATTGCTGCTATTTTGCCTACACCCCATAATTGGTTTGTCTTATAGTTAGAGCCTTCATTTTATTGGTGATGGGGCAATTCGGATTGAAGGAATTGTGATCTGTCAGGTATTTATTATGTTCATGTTGGTCCTTATTCACAGCCTTACATTTGACGCAGTTGTGTGTGTGATCCAGTCTACGACATTCGTTGAACCTATGTCCTTTACTACAGTGGCTATATTTCTGCTTGTTAGGGCAGCTGGCGGCCAGATGGTTATAGCAGCAGCATTGGTAACATCTGGTAAGGGGAATGTAGTCATTCAGGTATACCTTCGCCCATTGGATAGCGATATGCTTAGTACGGATAAGTAGATTCCTGATCTTGGGAGAGGTAGAGAGCACTATGTGCCAACAATTCTCCTTGGTAGTATTTCTATAAAGGACGGTACTTATTCTGGTGTTGTCTATGAATTCGATGAGATCTTCATTCTGGTCATAAATAGTCGGTATCAGATCTGCTTTGTCCACCGATATGGGCACATTTGTGAGAATGATTCTTGGCCGTCTGCCTTCAGAAATTCTGCTCTTTATTTTTCGTGAAACATTAGTGAGATTCTTAATCGCATCTTCTAGAATTTGTGCCTCTTTATGGCTATCCTTACGGAAGCACAGATTATCTCCCTTGACTTGTCTGATAGACTGGACCCTAATTTTTAAGTTGCCTGGTTTGATCTCTTTTATGATTTTGTTCTCTGTTTGAGCCATGTCTGTGATGTTGCCTTCATCATCCGTTTTGGGGTACAATAACACAGCAAAACTTCCACCTGACCCTTCGTTATTTAGCTTGTTTTTTTAGAGATTTATTAATTACCTGAGTGGTAAAACTGGGTTTGGAGTTTAGCCTAGTGACTCCTGCATAAGAAATGGGAGCCGGTGGCTGAGACTGTGGAGTGTGACAGTTGGATCTAAGCTCTCGGAGAATATTGTGAAACTGATTAAGACAGGAATAGATTCGTAAGATCCTATCTTTCACCTCCTTCCTTTTGTCGGATTTCAGATTTGTGCTGCATTTTGCAGGCAGCAGATCCAGGATTTTTAGGAAGTGTTGATTCGCTTCCTCTAATATCACATCCTCAAGTGGTTGAACCACTATGTTTGTGTTAGCTGCCTCAACCACAGACACATTGGAAGGCCGACTTTGGGACAGCATAATTACCAAAGTAAAGAGCACAGGAACCAATAAAAATATACAAATAACAAGGCAATAGGCCTTAATAATACTAAGCAATAAAACTAACCTTAGGAACTAATAACTTAAAATCCGCGAGAGAAATAGTAGAAACTTAAAAACAGAAAATTTAGTGAAAAATAATTATATTTAGTACCCGCCTTATCGACTAATAAATAGGCGATAAAATGCCAATTCGAAAGATATATTACACTTAGTAAGACACCCAGTGTGACCCGAGAATACGGACAGAGAGACTGCCGAATTAGGGTCAGGTCGGATAGTTGACCCGGCCATGTGGTAAGGTCAATGACCTTTGCCTCCTTTGTTTGACCCCGATTTAAAAAAAGGCCATAACTTAAAAATTATGATAGATATCGTGATGAAATTTAAACCGCAGATAGATAAGCGGACGG